AAATTCACTAAAAAGCTCTCGCCGCAATCGACGCCGGCAGAGGCACGAAGTGAATTTGTGTGTAAACGTGCGTGGCGTTTCTTTTTCATAAACTCGGTTCATCGATACGCCGTAACGTGGTTAGTAAGATTTTTGCTTTCATCATCGCAGCGATAAAGTACGAAAAAAGTGAATCAAACTGATTTTTAATGTACTCTCTTTTAATGTAAAGCTTATTCAATTTTATAGCACTTTACATCCACCAATCTTTGCTCCGCAAACATTGTTATACCATTTTTGATTAGATTTTAAAATTTGTTGCAACATTTTTCTAAATTGTGCATGTGCAAGGTAAAGATGTTTGCAGTGTGTACGAACCAAGGCTAAAACGGTGCTCGTATCAATCACTCAACGGCTTTAAGGCCTTAATCCATGTACGTGTTCAAGGATTACTGTAGCGCGAATATACACGCGCTGCAGGAGAACCACTAACTGCGTATAACATATCCTGCGAGCGATGCACGACCGCCCCGTGAGCCGCTTGGAATGAATAGATATACGAGTAAGATATAGGCAAGCAGGCAAGCAAGGGGTGCGCTACATTTTTATTATGGACTGCATCGAGCGCGCGCCCCCGAGAAAAATGAAAACGAAAAGAATGGCACCAAATAGAATGGATTGCTATAGAATGGAGACGCGGGGCGGCAGCGGGGTTATGAATGTAAGCAAAAAGAACAGCGTCGTCGTCGTTGGGATGAAAAGAAGAATGGCCACTAAGGGTGTAGTTTAATATCGACGAATTCACATAGAAAAAGCTCGAAAGCTAGCGCGAGAGCACAAGTACCGATCGGGAATTTATGAAACAGTATTAAAAAAGAAACGAGACTGGAATTTTGCTTATCGTTTTAAATATTTATCAAGTTTACGACTGCTTCGTGCTTGTGTGAACCGGAACCGGGAATTATATGTCTGACAAAAAAAGAATTTCAATCATCAATGCTGAGTATTGTCGAAAACTGAAGCGTTTGAATTTTGTAGAGTTTTTGTGTTCAAGATAAAATTTGAGTTATTCACTGCGATATTGAAAATGCGAATAGTAAAATGATTCACGATTTTCCGAGCAATTAGACATTCATCATGTTCGACTATAAATTAAAACGCAACGTAAATCATTCTTCTCGTGTGCATGTAGCAAACGAGCGAAATCGATCAGTGTCGTTTTCCTGCTTTCTACGCTGCGTACATTGTATATTAAAATAGTTTTATTGTTTGGTCGGTTAAACGAAAGTTAAAGTTCTGATTTATTGCGAGTTAATTGCAAACTCAAATATTCATCGAAAACGCGCCAAAATGCTCGGCAGTTTTGTTCAAAACTTTATATAAAACCATTTTATTTTTTTGCCGCACAATTCGAACAATGCGCGGTTGTACTAAACTAATGAACAATTGGCTGGTACTAGGGAATGGAATTGACAATACAGTTGATTTTTTGCTCTCGTTACTATTATTAACAAGAGTTACACCTTCAAACGTTCAATTTAATTGCTTTCAATTTAGAATGATTGTTTTTTTGATTATAAAGTCAAACAATTACAAACAATAATTTCTTATTTTAAGGCATTAAATTTATGCGTAAAAATTTCATCACAGGAATAAAACAAATTTGCCGCCATAATAAGTTTCAACCCTTTCAAGACCGTGTAGTTACACTAACAGTAAAATTTATTAGTTTTCATAATGCGTTAGATGAACGTTTCGGAATTCGCAGGGAACATGCGCCAAATTCAAGGGATTGTAAAAATATCGGCATGTCTGTCGTCGACCTTTTCGATGTTATTGCCGCGCTATGGAGCGCGCGGCATTGCAGTCGATGTTGAGCGGAAAAGGCGGAAACTATGCGAATTGGCTTGCGCTCGACGGAAAAAACACTGAGCAAAATAAGCGAAAAGGATTTGCCTTTTCAACTTGAATGTCCTCTAAAATTTAATGATTTCTAGCCAGACCAAGGCGACGGCTAGGCACGTGTAGTAATAAGTAATAAATTGCGCACATTCTCATAACTGACTAGGATGATAATAGTAAATTTGCATTTTGTGCCCGGTGGTCGCCCCAGAGAATTTTTATTAAAATTCTTGCAATTTATTTTAAAAACTTCTGCGGCAAATAAAATTATGTATTTAACCTTTAGGGATTTGTCATACTTAACAAATATTCTTTTCTTTTAAATAATATCCTGTTTTCGGGCAAAATTCTCATTTAAATTTTGGAAGTTTAAATTTTTTTTAATTATTGTATTTAATAGAAATATTAAAAAAACTGCAGGATTGAAATTTCCCACAAAACATCACTTGTCAAAACACAAAATGAATATAATTTCTTGTTTGATTTTTGTTAAGTCCTTAATTAATAAGAAAATGTTCCAGGACGCAAGACAACGTTAAGCTTTCCCAAGGGTAATTATTAATTGTGCGTCTGGTGTTAATTGAATTTATTTTACATTCGAGGATCCAATTTGCACAAAATTAAGAGCCGTGTATGAAAACAGCGTAGAGATATAACACTGCTCCACCGGGGCCTTGATTGTTTCAGTTGGGTGATGCTTCAAAGCACCCGATAAATATCTATCCGATTTTATGATGAGTAACTTTAACTCATACTTTTAGCCTTGTTTCGTATGTCCCGGCATACAATTTTAATTCGGCTATCCAGATTTCTGAACTCCCACGCATCTACATCAAAACAAACCTGGCATTTCCTTGGCAGTTATCTCGCATCTCCTCTCTTCTGGCAAATTCAGTTCTGGTAAACACAATTTGTCATCGACAACGTCAACCCTCCGTAGTGCGTACGCTTTTGAATGAAGCTTTCCACATTCTCACATCCCGCACATTTACCACACGCCTATACAGCAAATACCGCAAACACGCAAAATAGTACACATGCATATATATCTACAAACACAAATGTCTACTCTACTCCAAGTAAGAATAAGTTTTTCACTTTTCTGCGTGTACGTTTTCATCACTTACGGTTTTCAATTTATCCGTTCGGAGTCTTGCTGTGAGTGGAGGCGCTGGGCGTGCAGCAAGAGTACGAGTTATGTATTTAATCTTCAGAATCGAACAATTTCCGTCGTATTTAGACTTCAATCTATCGACGCTGCGTTTTTGCGCAAGGCACAAAATGAATGCTTCCGTTTAGAATCGATTCGAGACGTACGGTGTGACATTGTGAGCACGTACACGTCTCTCTGATTGATCGATTTGGTCGCATTAGCACTCCACTTACTTATTTCTAAGCGTTGATAAGTTTAATTAACGATCTATATGTGGCCATACTTTATGTGACTATGGCATAATATCAAAAAGCATCAGTTTGGGACGCTATCAAGCATCTGAAAAAAGAAAACACACAGAAAACATTTAATACACGGCACATACAGATAATCCACGTTAATTCCGATTTTGTTGTTTTTGTAACCTACGACGGGCAAATATATAATCTCAGATTTGTGCAGCAAGTTATAATGTGTAAGCTGAGGACAATGAAGTGTATTAAATAAATTAAAGACAAAAAGAAAAGAAATAAATTATTTTGCAAATAAAATCTTATGTTTTTTTCTAAATGTATAATTTAGTAATATTTATATTATGGCAAATTTATTTTTCTGAGTTCTCAAAGATAAAATTAATTCTAAATATATTTTATGTAAGTTTATAAATTTAATTGCATACTTTACAGTCTCTTGAAAGTTTGGTAAAGTTGACAGTAACTGAAGTGTGAAGTCGTGCGTGTAGTTATATATGGAATATAGCATAGTTGTCTTAATGATGAAAATAGAACTTTTAATGTTTAATTAAGCGCCCTACCCTTTTGTCTAGACGATAGACTCATTATAAAGTCGTATTATTTTATTCTAGTAAAGCCGACACGCGCAGAATTCTAAGTTTCCCGAGTTATATCTAAATTAATGTAGGGCACCAAGTTTGGCAAATGCCTCTAAAATCTAAATAGACCAAGAAGAATGTCCATTCTGTTTTATATTTTAGGAAACAAGTAAAAGTCGCTTGGTTTACGTAGAAATTTATTGTACATTTTCTGCCATTATTGTTACATGTTATCTTTGAAATATGCGGATTTTATTTTAAATTAGTTTCTACTTTTTGCATTGCTGTAAACAACATTGAACGTATTTCCTTTTAAATTGGGTACGTTTGCAATCCGCGCTTTGCACATACGTTTGCTTTGTTTGGCTTTATTTGTACTCGTTAGTCTGGCGTGTTTTTGTTAAAAATGATGCATATTAGCATTGTTAAAAGATGCGAACTTTCGATAGTCGCACGCAAAATAGAATATGTATAGCATAATCGCAGATAAGAGCGCGAGAAGCGGAAAGATGCGTTATGTTAGTTACGTACTGTGTACGCAGAAACCGAGTTTGTTAGTCGTGGGGGTAAAAAGAGTAATAAGCATGTCGCGTGAAGCACTGTCGGTGTAGATGTCGGTAATAAGCGCGCAATGAAATGTAACAATGCAACAACGAGACCCAAGCTGCGCGCTCGCGGCGACGCGCGTCCCGCGAAGCGATAAGAAATTTCATGAATATTATACACGTTTTATCTGGGAAGTTTTATCGTCGCTCATTTCTAGCACTCGCATAATAATAATCTGCGCGCGAGTGCGGGAATTTGCCAGACGCATAAATTAACAAACTCGTTAGTTTAATTCTCATGTGGGGGCGGTAACGGGATACCAATTGGTGTTTTGGCTTTTTTGGTTTCAAAATTGATGATTTCTGTTTACCCTTGGTTTAATACGACGTTATAGGACCAAAATATTTGGAAAAAACCAAAATATTAATTGTATTATTAAAAATTACTAAGAATGTTTTTGCTAAATTTTAGAAAATAGAGAATTGTTATGGGTTAGAGAATAATTTCCTTTAAAATTTGAAAATTTTAGAATTTAAGAATGATGATGGCTCAATTACCTCCAGATACTAAGATTAACTTTTGTTTCAGATATAATCGGCAAGATTTTTATCATACGGCTAGTGTAACATGAATTTATATGACATCGGCAACGGTGCGTGCCTGCATCACCTAGGAGTGTGATAAAATATTAAAGCAGCATCGGCTCTCGCGCGCATCCGGAAAATAGTGGCGCGGAGGTGGAAAAAGTGAAAAATCCCAAATGATGTATGCGGAAGGAAGCACAAAAGAAAATCGACGAAGTGTGCGAAATGCGGCATGAGTTAATACCGAAACAGATGGGGACGTGGGACACATGGCAAAAGAAGACTTTGTCCCACGGAAATATTGCCAACTTTCCGTCGCGCCGGCAGCCGTCGCAAGTCCGAAAGACGGCGCTCACGTCGCAGTAGTGCGAAAAATATCGTCGCGCATGTCGCCGGTTCCCTCAACCCCCGTCGATACAATACAGCGGCCAGCTGGATTGAAAACTTTGGCACACGCCAAAGTCACCAGCCCTGCGAGTGACACTTTATTTTTCTAACGTAGTTCTAATGAAAGTTCTCTCTAACATCAATGCAATGGATTCGACGCGGGAGCGATGCTACTGCTCCTGCGGATTGCTGACAGAGACGAAAGATTGCGACTGATGCCGGCGGCGGCAATCCAGCGTCGTATCTTAGTGTGCGGGTGACGTCATGCGTGTCATGCCAGAGGGTCGGGCTAACGCACCGTCGCCAAAAGTCAACGGACACCAGGTATCCGACAACAGATACATCCGCGCGTTAGTAACGTTAACCATGTGGTTGGCGGTAGTCGTTAGTCACGTCGGTGATTGCGAGGCCTCCTCGCTGCTGGTCCACAAGTACAGCACACGCGTGGTGAAGACAAAGTATGGCCCGCTGCGAGGCGTCATGATACACATCCATCCGCCGGTCGAGGCATTCCTCGGGGTGCCGTACGCCACACCACCCGTCGGCAGTCTCAGGTAATTATTTCGGCGTTACAATTATATTAAATTCTGTTACCACAAATGTATGTCAGTACAGTTTGTCTTGCATCCAATAAACTTTTTCAGCTGAAAATTTATCACAGCAATTAAAAATAAACAGTATGTACATATGTGTAACATATTTCATTCCTTCAGGGCCACATTGTCGTCGTTTGAACCATTACGTTGGCGAATGATACTAGTCGCAGTGGTGTTTGCCAATGAAACTAGAAAAGAGCATTCATACATTATTTTTATGTGGTGAATAGGAAAACACAACAACACGAGCAATAAATTACGCGAGTTATGTGATTTTCTTGCTCGTTTTCGCCGTTTTGCTTTGAAAATTTATAACCCCTCATTAAGTTTCAAAACGCCGCGAAAATTCTTCCTCTACCCGCTAGGGTCCAAGTTGAAGTCGAAGCCGCCAGAGAAATCTCTTTCGATTTGTTTTTTTGCTTCGAACATCGCTATCTATGTTTCCAGCTCAATAAATGAGCGTCTGGGCGTTGAATTTATTGTAATTACTATTTTTATTTATTTTTATCTCCTAATTTCAATATTTGTTAATGATTCGAGAAATGGCTTAAAGTTGGACCTCGCATGTTTTCAAATCCAAATATATTTAGGATTGCAATGGCAAAAAAAAACAAATTGGAAAATACAATAATGAGAAGTTGATGGACCAAATCGTAAATTCCGATTAAAGCAACTTTGGAAGCGTCTGTATCTGTTGTTGACTATGGACTAGCTTTTCCAGCATTGAATTAGTAGATTGAAATTAAGAGGCATTAAGCAAATTAATTTCACTCAAATGTTTTAATTAAAATAGGCTTTTAAATGAATTGATTGACAACATAGGATTTTCAGAGAAAAATGATAAGTTAAAATTAGTGTTAATTTAATTCTTTAGTTTACAAAAATTTAGATTCACGAAATCACTTTATTACAATTATTTTATTTAGTTGATAATATCAATTGCATTCACATACCCAACAAAAATAATACATTATTGTTTATAACCAAATGCTAATTCTTAACCGAGCAACTAATGAGCATGGGAATGAACAAAACTGACAAAGTCGATCTACGAGTGTGTGCAAGAAATTTTACAGCCGAAAAGTGGAGGCAAACCAAAAGGTTACAAAACGCTTGATTAAAACGCCGATTTTATCGTGTCGCAATCATCTTTTATCACTATTGCCACTCTTAAATGGCGTTTCCGTTGCCGACTTAATTCCGCCACTGTGAGCATTCCATCTAAACGCTAGTAGGTAATAAATATTTGCTGTTCCGACTTGCAAACAAACTCAATGTAGATACCTTTTTCCGTAAGAAGTTTTTGCTAGAAATTTTCTATTCTAATAAAACTAATGGTTGAGCTTATGTTAAATGCGCTTAATGGGAGCAACTTAATCTTTTTCTCCTGGCGAGTGCTAGCAGAATACCACAAGTCCCGCGCAACCGGCGCAAAGCAATAGCGTCGAAATTAAATTTCGTCATAAAGCAGCACTTATATTCCGGAGCTCGCCAGGTTTTAGTTCCGCTTCCGCTGAGAAATAGGAACATTACATGCGACGTTTTAAATTCAACCACAACGACCACCAACCCCACCGACTGCGCAGGCGAACGAATAAACTTTTCCGGTATTTCAGGTATGAATAAAATATACACGGCCAGACACTCACCGCGACAAAAACGTAATGGCAATTTCGTTGAAATGCGCCCGGGCTGTTGCAGCGCATGCATGATGCGCCAGGATAGTTCCACTAGAATTTCAATTTAGGACTGCAACTTTTCTCACTATAGGATGTTTAGATGGCAACAGCGTGTAGTGGATAGCGTCCAACAACAATGACACCAGTTTGTTTGCTGTTTTAGCCGTTATTTCTTCGTTTTCAGGTACATGCCACCTGTAACACCTTCGCTGTGGAAGAACACACGTTTAGCGGATCGATTCTCGCCGGTGTGTCCACAGCGTCCGCCTGATATTGGCAACCGGACCGAAGCGCTCCTCGAATATCCGCGTGGGCGCCTTCATTATTTAGAAAAGCTGCTTCCGCTGCTTGCGAATCAAAGCGAGGACTGCTTGTACATGAACATCTACGTGCCGAGAACAGGTAAATTGATTATTTCAATTATTTGCATTGTTATACGTCTGCGAACCTCTGCACTAGCAAGGCTGCGCCATTAACACTTGTTTTTGCGCTCGTGGAAAACAGAAAAGAGGAAAGTTTATCTCGAGTTTCAAAAATAGTAAGATGAATGAGGTTCATTTATCTACTACATCTTTGTCGCGTGCGTCAGAGCACCGGCTAACGTAATAGGGAATCTGCGGAGCGGATGAGTAACGACTGAGTTTAACCGAATCAAATGTGCGGTCGCGACGACAGGAGTGAATTGATGATTATCGCATAACTGTAATTTCATAATTACTGATATGGGAAAATTATGTATGCATACGGTTAAACATTACATACCTACCACTACTACTACAACTACTTCATCCAGTAAGGTATTGAAAAACTTGCTAATTGATTACTATTATTATCATCGGTGATCAATAAACATGAATGAAACTAAAAATGATAATGTACATTGATCAACCAATCTATAAAATAATAGTATATAATGTATTAAGTGAGCTAAACGGCACTTTAGTCACGAGATTGATTAAGCGCGAGCGAAGCGTGTAATTTAAAACTTTGAACGAACATCGCACACTACTGGGAAATGTACATAAGGCTATAAATATATGAGAGGCACAGTAGGCAAATGCATAGGCCCAAGCTCTATCCATGACTAAAACCCGTGACTAAAGTACCACTTTTGGGTCACAAAACCGGGGAAAAAGGTGGAAATAGAAAAAAAGATGAAATAATCAATTACGATTGCCAACTACAATTTCATGACATTTGTTTTAGGCGAATATAAATTGTGTTTTCGTTGTTAATTTATTTTAAACTAGTTTCAAGCGTTTGCTACCAGCACGCACACAACTTTTCCTCTATGTTTTCATCTTCAGCTCGTTTCGCAGCGATGAAAACCACGCAGAAACATAACTGCGCAGATTAGATGTCCCGACGTGCATAAATTGTTCGGTTTAAATATAAATTAACATCCGCCTTCATCGAGTGGGAACGCGACTACTTGACTAGTCATGTACGAACATCGGATGCTTCATTTCACATGCGCGCAACTCGTTCACGCATACACACCGCGCGCGTATTAATATGTACGTTTAATTTGCACATAAATGCAAAGAAAATCTGCATATTCATTAAATGTTCGTATTTACGCGTGCGTCCGCGTCCGGTATGTAAATAAACGCGCACGAAAATATAGAAATCGATTTTCTCCGCTCTCAGCGTGCGCTGACAGTCGATAAAACGAAACAAATTAATAATTAATCGTCGTTGTCTGATTGTCGAAATAATTTCACATTGGAAGAGCTAAAACAAACACGAAAGTGAATGCGTGTACATACCATACATAAATCGCAGCCTATGCAAATATAACGCACTTTGTATCGCACACATAATTGAAATACAAGATTAGCTAATTTCGAAATAAATTGTGTGTGTTTGCATTGTTGGTATACGTTTGGGGTGATTTTATTTTTTGATGATGCAGATTATTGATTGCTAGTCGATGTTTGATTGAATTTTAAAGTGTGTGATCAGCGATTTGAGTTTCTCGGGGCGTTTTAGCCGGGTGCGAATTGCCCGCCACATATTTAACTAGGTTTTATTAGTTGTCATAGCAACCGAACCCACGCTTGACCTTGCGGGAGCTTGCTGCGGTGGTTACCCGTCCTATTTACACATGCGCAAACGCAACGCACCAGTTTTTGGCTTCTCTCGTTTTCCTCGTTTCAAGCGACATTGATGATGCGTTACAAATGTGCAAAACTTGCAATCTGCTCGGATCAACAAAATCTCCACACATACAAGCAAGTAAAGTGTTTTAATTTTTTGATATGTTGTGTATCATTTTTCCGTTTATGTCGCGGCATTTATTTTTTTATCGTGTGATCATACGTGCACATATTGACACTGCGCCGAGGTACAAACAAAGGCATTAAATCCCCGAAGGATGAAGATTTATTGTCACCTGCTTTTTGGAGGCAACTCTCCGTCTCTCGATATTCGCGCGGTCGGATATTTCACATGCAATTATTTACGTATCCTGACAAAACCGGTACGGTTGACAGTTTGACAAAGGGAATAAACAACTAGAAAATATAGTCCGATACCGCACGATTTTTCCACGGCGCGTCGGCATTGACTATAGAACCAAAATGCAAAATGTTTTACCTGTAAAAACATTGAAATTGTGACACTATTTGCCAAATGTCCACCAGCGTTACATGTATATATCATGGGAGCATCCGGTAGATTGAAAAATCCGCTAGCAGAGTCATATTGATTTAGGATCTTGGAGATACTCATGTTTTATGAATAAAGACTTTGTTTAGTCAATTCGCATCGTTGGTGTCATTGCTTAGATTATATAGTTTAAAAGCATATAACTTCATATTTATAAAATTGTTCGCAGATTTGAAATTGACATTTTAAAATTTATTAATGATATCTTAATTTATTTATACTGTGCCACTAATGCCCATATTCAAAGATTAATATCTCTCGCATTTCTTTGCTTTGATCGTCGTTTGCTGCCTTGCATTGAACGCCTGAAGCTGTGATGCGCTTTTGATATGCGTTGCGTTGTGCGCGGGTCGACAATGACGTCTGCGTCTACCCAAGATCCAAATTGATGTTTGTTCTGTCTGCGACGCGACACCCTAGTGCGATTGCGCTCAATTAGAATATATTATTCGCCGTTCGCAGAATCGCGTAACGAAGGCAATATTTACCTCTCAACGCTTTCGATTTTTCACGTCTGCGCCGAAAGACGTTGTATAATCCTGCGAATCGACGAGTACTGTCCTTTTGTGCGACAGCTCACTTCATAAATATTTATCGGATTTTAAAGACGTTCATTGTTGTTGCTTACAGGCAGTAAGACGATGACAGACTATGGCGGTACTAATTCCAATATGCGCCCAGCTTTCTATCTTAGAACGTGTTTACAGATTTACTTGAATAATGATTTCGGCTCATGGAAGCTAGAAATAATAAAGAAGAAATTGACAATGAGGAATTATTAAAAGTTTGTTTAATACGATGTCCCGGCACATAAAATTTCAATGGTCCATTAAAACTTTCTAACCCGTAAAAAGATGGAAATTTACACGGTGGTATATTTAAAATATAATTTTATATCTACCAGTTTTGAAAGCGAGTATTTAATAAAACTAAACTATTAAATCGGTAAACCAAGTTACATTTATCTTTGAAAATTTATTTTGTGTGTTTAAAAAATATATGTGGAAAATGAAATTCCGGATTTGTGGTTGTTGGGACAAATGTTATAAAAGTTTGCTTTATATTCATCTTTTGCCATTCCAGTCTCCACCAAACGGAATTTAAATATTATGACTACTATCTCTAGGTATATTTGAATGATATTGTGTGAATATAAATATGAAACTGTTCCCTTTTCAAACCAAATTATATTTATTTAATTCGTTGCATATTTTTATGTAAACACCGGTAAAACTGAAGTAAAATACAGAAAACTCAGTATTATTAAGAAAACTTGCAAAACTTTAGATTCAAAAAGATTTTCTCTGACCTAATCCCTCGTGTGATAATATTGCGAATCATTTCCTATGTTGTTAGTGCACACAAAAGTTCACACAACACTGCGCTGGCGAAAATGAAAAGCGGGTGAAACGTAACACGGAAGAGGTCGAAATGAAACAATTATACGCTGTACTTAAAACGTTAACAATTCTCCGGGCGCCAAGTGCCCTTCCAGCTTTGCAAGCTTTGCGCCGCGTTGACGTTTCGCGCTGCGGACGAAAAGTGCGAAAATTGCAGAGAAAAGTGTCGCAGGATCAGAGGCACGCCGAAAAGGTAATGGACAGAGACGGCAGCACGCTTGCGTGATAATTTCGAGTGCAAAAAGATTGCGGCGTCGCCGGGCGCATAAGTGGGGTTAAAAAGGATATAAATTTTATTTAGTTCTCTTCTCAGTTGCGGAACTTCATACACACATAGTCTGGTTATGGGTATAAAACCAAGCGGATTGTGGTAGAGTGTACTACACGGCGCAGTACATTTGTCTCTTTTCTTGATTTACCTTCTTATGTCCTATAACTGGGTTCGCACACTGAGTACCATTGAGACCTCAGCGGCGGCCTGGAAAAATATACGGAAGTATTGAGCGAGCGAATGCAATTAGTCGTTTAGTGTGAAACTAACTCACTGCCTCATAAATTTGCCCACAGACACAGACACATTGAATTATGCAATTACTCGCGCGTGAATTATTCATTATGATGGAGTAATGGGGCGAAAAAAACCGAATGAAATTTAATAAGTTTTCATTGAAAATTAATAAAAATGCGTCCAGTGGACCGGAAATGACGGTGTAAATAAATAAATAATTGTGCATGCGGATTAACGTCCTCACGCGTTTTGTTGTGGCATTTATATAAAATTATGCAAATGAATGAATTCAATTAATAAAAATACCGTCAGCAAAATTCCAATTTGCTATACCACAACGTTACATAAATTAAAAAATTAAAATGATGTTGGCAGAGGTATGATATTATGCAAAATTAATCGAATTTTGGCAAACATATTAAATCCAACCTCAACAACTATTAGTACGCAAAATTAAATTTACAAAAGTAATAAAAATGTTAATTTGACGGTTTGCAGCAGTTGCAATCTAGTTAAACAGTGAAAAAACAGTAATGACTAAATGTTCGCTACGTTTCAGCAATTAAATTAATTTAGTTGTGAAAACACTCAGGTCATTACTATGCAATGCAATTGCGAGCAGGAAATGCAGAATTCTCTTTATCCTTAAAAAAAGAAGATGCCGTTTTCAAAGATTCAGCATGGCGCTGGCCGGATGGGATTGTAGTTCGGAATCGCTGCCGCTGGAAGCTTCAAACATAATCAAGCGCATACGTCTAAAGTTACCGAAAGTGCGGCAGCGGTTTCATCCACTCTTCTGCCGGAGTCCCGGCGACTCGTCGTGC